TTTATTTAAAATATATATATTATATATATAATTAAACTTAAATACAACTGAACTCCATCAATTAGCTCTTAGCTTTGGCATCATCCCCCTGTCTTGTCCATAATATAAATTTATTTTAGCTTTCACTCTGTAAAAAGCCACTAAAATAAATGAAACGTTTTCTAAGAGCTCTATGAAATTTCCATGAATTTTCTATGCTCCTTAATATTATTTACCCCATGGCCTATTCCATGACCATCTGGGTCAACATCTAACAAATTTGGTTTCTGAATTCTTAAATTGCTGTAATTCTAACTTTTTTAACATATTAAGATGGAATTCTTTTATTACTGTATTATTTAACAATTACAAACATTGAATTCATTAGCCATTTTACTGACTATAGTACAGATTTAGAGACAATTTACATTGTAAATATGATTGCTAGGCTTACCACATCTGGATTGCTAATGTTTGGGTAATCACTAAATGGCAGTACAGAGATCTTTTTTCCCCTCCTAATATCTCTTTGCTGGCATTTAATGATTATCACATTTTTCAGCACAAATAAATTAGAGACATAAGCAGGGGTGGGATTCTACCAGTTCGCACCTATTCGCTAGAACCGGTTGTTAACATTCTAAGCAGTTTGGAGAACCATTTGTTAGAAGAAATTTGGCCTAATCCTGTAAGGAAGGCAGGACCATTCTGGTGTTACTTACAGAAACTGCCTCTCTGTTAACCCTTATTATGTTCTTGGCAGAACTAGACTTCCTGTCTCAGGAACATCTCTGGAGTTTTTTTTCTCCTCCTTTGCTGGTACTTTGCTTGTGTGGAGTGACCATTCAAAGTTACAATGGCACTGAAAAAAGTGACATGATCATTTTTCACACTTACAACAGTTGCAACATCCCCACAGTCATCAGAGGCCAGGCAAGGAGATGCGTGCCTCGATGTGAGTGATATTGAGTTGGCCACACCCAGCCAATAACATGACCACCAAGCCATGTCCACCCAGTTACATGACCGCCAGGCCACGCCCACAACCTAAGCCACACCCACAGAACCAGTTAAAAATTTGAATCCCACCCCTGGACATAAGTCAGGAAACTCAAATTCTCAGCTTGTAGTTTGGCAACAGAGCTAGGGAGAGTGGCTTACCAAATTCAGGTGAGCATTGCAAGTATTCTTTTGTAGGAGTGGGTAGGCCTGAAAGGCCTGGGGAGGTTGTGTATAGCAGTGTGGTTCAGTGGTGGGATTCAATTCTTTTTACTGTGGTTCCATGGGCATGGCAGGGGAAGGATACTGTAAAATCTCCAGTGAGAGTTGGTATTTGCTGGTTCTTGGAGCAATTTGAGTTTGAGATCCTTTTGTACCTTAGCATTACTGCTTTACTCTTTAGTTCTTCTATGAATTGGAAATAAGAATTTGTCTTTAAATGGTCACAGAATGCTGTGGAAAATATTTTAAATGCAACACCAATATTTAAACAGCAACATATGAAGGAAGAGATTAAATAAAACAAAGGATTTATTTATGGAATTTACTCCCTGCCTCAATCCAGGTGGATTACTTTATAATCAAGGCTGCATTCCCATGCACACCTATGAGAATAAGTCGAGTCATAAGAATAATACAGGTAATCTACCCACCTACCAGTTATGTATCATACAGATATCATATGTATAATATAGACAACCTGATATTTATTCTAATTTCTTGAAGAATAATATTCTATTATTCTTATTTCTAAAGACAGAGGCAGTCTCAGTCTATCGGAAAATAATGACTTTACTAAATTTTCAGAAGGAAAAAATAATAATAAAGAATATATTAACAGCACTGGATTTCCTACTGATGTATGAATTCCAGAGTTAAACAGAAAAACACACCTTGCTGATAGAAGGAAAAATTGTCAAGCTTTGCTTATGGAGAAACTGGTCAAGAATAAGCATTAAAATCACCTCACTTTCTGACAACCTTCCTATAATAAATGTACATGTATGATGATACATGCTAGTTATGAGGATTATTCACACATATATAATTTGCTTAATACAATATTTGTAAAGTAGATGGAGGATAAGGACAAATCACTGACTGCCTGAGCCTAGGAATATAAGATACAAATCAAAATTCAATTCTAATTACCGGTATTGTGCTTTGATTACTTCAGAGAAGTTCAGATTATATATGAGAATTGAGTCACCTGTATGATTTTACACAACAAAAAACAATGCAGAGAATACAGTACAAACTATGATGCAAAAAATTATGTAACAACTGTTCCCGCCACAATAAATTTCAGCCTTTTGTGTTTCCTGTCGGATACAAATATGTCAGTCACGAGGTATATGTCATAATGCACATTTCTTTGCTTGCCTCATCCATGTAGACATTGATAATGTAGGGCTATATAGACTGAGTTATTTAAATTATATGTTGTATTCGTTGTATGGGGCTTGTCAGGATAACAAATTTAAAGTTTTATTTCTAAACTAATGGGAAAAATTGTGCAAATCGCATAATGGTTTACCCACAGAATAATTATTCCAAGGATTCCATATGCTTCTTTTCTTTCTGCAGCATTGAACTGTACATGAGAAAAGGCAACAGAAAATGATAGGAAGAAGCTTCTGTTACTAAGCACTGATTTGTTTTATTTTGAGGAGTTACACTTTGTTCAACAAAGTTGCAATGATAGTTGGGTGAATTTTTTTTTTAGAAATTGCACTTCATTTTCTGGTGTCCCTTAAATGACCGGTGACATTGGTTCTCAGTATGTGTTTGACTCTCTTTCTGTACAAGTATAGTTTCCTCCTTGCATTTTTTCCTGACCTTAGCCTGACATTTTGTGTCAAAGTGGTTTGGTGTACACGTGTAGTTCAAGCTTTGCATCCACAATGCCAAAAATTGGAAACTACTATGAAAAAGGTGAGCTCTACATATGGATGCCAAGACCAGAAATTATTTTTGCATTGATTGGTTGGTTGATTATGTACTACCGAGTTATTTTTGAGACCTAGTGATCATGTAAATACATTTTCTCCTTGATGTTCTATTCCCAAACCTCTTGTTTTGGGTTAGAATTAGGGTTAGGGTTAGGACACTCATTGCCACTTTGATTGAGTACAATATATCCACCTTGCGTTGGTCATTCCCTTCTCTTTCCTTCCACCTTTCCCAGCATTAGAGCTTTTTCCAAGGAGTTAAGTCCTTACATAAAATGTCTGAAAAAGTATGATAATTTTGAGCCTGATAACTTGCGCCTTGAGTGAAAACTTTGGATTGATGTGTTCGATGAACCATGGATTGATGTGTTTGATGAACCATTCATTCATCAGTACTTTTATACATCTTTCCATAATTAATTAATAATTATCCTTTTAACATATGTAAAAGCTACTGGATCACAGAGTACAGAAATTAAACTGCAGCAGAGTAATCAGAAGGAGCAGGTGCAGCTATCACTCACCTAATTATCTTAGCTATGAAGGGTAAAAAAAATGGGCAGAAAAAGAGATGGCCACTGCTTCCTCTTGCATGTCATTTTGGACTTTCAGCCCCAGTGCACTTGAGGACATGAGAGAGAGAAGGGAAAACTGCCCTTGTTGATGCTGCATCAGCCAGGAGGAAAGCAAATGAAGTACGTACTCCTGACACAAGTGGTGACTGAGTGGTCCAGACAAGGATACAGACTGGCACAATACTGCTCTGCAGACACGGTCAGCAGCCCAAATTGTCCCCATAGACTGCCTAACAAAAGGCAGTACATGATCCTGTTATGTACCCACCCCCTCAGTGATGTGGCTGGAAGACTGAGAAAAGAAAACAGTGATACCATCAAAGTCTATTGGCAAAGGACACCCACAATGTGGAATGAGGACTGTCCATCCTATCAATATAGCTCTGGGGAAAATAACATTTATGAAGTATAGCTCTAAAACAAAGCATTTACCTACTTCCTGCCACATTCATCCATTACAACAAGAACAAAGTCTTGGGGCACTCTAAAAGACTCATCCTTATCATTGCAACATTTTCTTAAAACCCTGAGAAAAGATGTGATCTACTCTGCCAATGAAAGAACCAGAGCCTTAATTATTACAGTATCACTCATAACTTGAGCCCTTGACCCCATGCAATCCAACAGATCCTGGCCTTGGCTCACTATTTTCTCTCCTGCAAAACCCAGAAGAACAATGAGAGTTGGGGTGTTAAAAGTAGACCAATCCAATCAGAATAAGAGTTGGAAGGGACCTTTGAGGTCTTCTAGTCCAACCCCCTGCCGAAGCAGGAGACCTTATATCATTTCAGACAAGCGGCTGTCCAGTATCTTCTTAAATGCCTCCAGTGATGAAGCCCCCACAACTTCTGAAGGTAAGTTGCTAATTGTCCTCTCTTAGGAAGTTCCTCCTAAATTCCAGGTTCCTTCTCTCTTTGATTAGTTTCCATCCATTGTTTCTTGTCCTGCCTTCTGGTGCTTTGGAAAATAAGTTGATACCCCACCCCCTCCTCTTCTTTGTGGCAGCCCCTCAAATACGGAGTCTACTGATGATAATTTCATTAGGGCACAATCACAGGGCCTCTCTTTGGCAGCCCCTCAAATACTCAGTTAATATCATACTAATAAGAACTGTATTAAGGCACACTCAGCGGCTCCCTTCATCCCACAGGCTCAGCAGTCACCCGAGGGGACCAAATCTGACGGTTTTCGCTCGTTTCGAATCAACTGACCGGCGTTTATCCTGCGCGCAACCCTTAAAAAGTGGGCAGGAGAATGTAAACGCGGGCGTGGGTGTCAGTCGCCACGACTTATTTACGCAGGACCCCACCTACTTCAAGGTAAGAATTAGGCTCTATCTCAGTTATATCTGCGCTGCTCGCAGCTCACCCCACCCAGGCGGTGGCAGTAGCAAAGAGCTCCGGCCGTCCCACAAGCTGGCACCGCGGGGTGGGCGTTACGTACTAAAGACGGCGCTCAGACTAAGGCCACGCTTCAGTTGCGAGAGCGCCGCCGAGCGTGCGGGGCCGAAGTAGTCAAAGCGGAAGCTCGGGTTTGCCTCAGTGCTCCGCGGCGGGTTTGTTGCGCTCGAAGTTCGCGTGGAGCTGCCGGGACGCGGCACCGCGAGGAGGGTTTCCCCCCCGGCCACGTGTTACGACCAGGGACCCGAGCGGAGGGGACCCTCGCTCTTTCGCTGGCCGCTCTTTGGACCGCCTCTGGTGGCGGCCGGCTGGGAGACGCTCCGCATGCGCCGCTCGAGGAGGCGAGTGGGTGAAGAGAAGGGCTCCAAATTCAAACGACGGAGGCAACAGCGAGGAAACCCGGAGGAGTAGCCCGAAGCCGAGCGGACGAGGAGCAGAGCGAGAACCAGAGAGAAGAAAGAAGGCGGCGGTTGGGAGGAAAGGAGACTAAAAACGGGAGGAAAAGGTGGGAAGCCGAGGCGGGTGAGGATCCCTGGCATTCCCTAGCGACGAAACGGAACTCTTCTCCGCGCTTTATTGCTCTCCTGCTGAGGCATCCCCGTGTCGTTTCCTCTCCTTTCCTCTGGAGCCGAGGCTACCCATTGTGCACCGCCATGGTAGATAGGGGTCCTTTGTTAACGTCGGCGATTATTTTCTACCTGTCCATCGGAGCAGCTATCTTCGAAGTACTGGAGCATCCCCATTTGCAAAATGCGGCCGAGGGTTACAAGCAGAAAAAGTCAGAGCTCCTGAAAGAGTTTCCCTGTCTGGGCCAGGAGGGGCTAGATAAGATCTTGCGGGTGAGTCCGCCCCCCTTTTATTTTATTTTTTTTAAAAAAGCTTCTTTCCCGCCATCTCTTTAGACTCGAACAAAATGGGTTGTCTCCTTTCAAATGTGCAATTGTTGTAGGGCGGCAGTTACACTGTGGGCTTGAGCAAATGGCACCTGCAGGAATTAAAATTCGCGCCCTCTCTCTCTCTCACACACACACACCTTGCAATGTGAAAAAAAGAGGGATATGGTCCTCCGAATTGAGACGCGTTTGTTTGTTTTTCTCGGAGAGGCAGGAGCCAGTTCTTTGACACAGTAAAAACATTGTTCGACTCTGATGGCTTTACTGCTAGGTATGTGCCTCTTCCTGCACTGAATTGCACAAACTTAACAAGGCATGGATAACACCCAGAGTCGCTGAACTCTGCTGTAGTGGAAAGTATGGATTTGCTGTGCAAATATTGATCTCTGAAATTACATTTAAAAACAGGTTACTTCTGAAGTGTCCAGATTCATTTGGTTGATTCCCTTACGTTGTGAAAAACCAAGCCGGTCATATTTTAGCAGATTATTATATGCTTTGCTAAGAACACACTGAGTGCCATTTTGGAGCATTTATCTCAATAGCAGGTGCTTTGTTTCCAGTTTCTTCCCCCCACCCCCCAAATGTTGCACAGTAATATTTCCAAAATTTAACATGTGAGCAGGTGAAAATAATGTATTTATGAGACCAATGTGCAAGGGAGGCCTACTTTGTAATCAAATTGTACTTTTAAGTTTTCTTGCAGTTCTTGAATGGTGACTTTTAAGATCATTGCCAAAAAAGTTAGGGTTACAATGTCAACAGGCAGCTAATGGGTATGGGCAGCCTAACCCCATCAACTGCTGGTGCATCTCTGGTTCTCAAAAGGTCAAAGGTGAGCTGTAAAATAATTCACTGGAAATTATCCTCCATGTGGTATGGGTTTTGCAACTTTTTGATTGATTTCATATGAGCCTTTGGATTCAGTGAGATACATCTGGAATGGGTAGAAAGGCTGAAGACTTCAAGAGAGCTTAAGCTGATTGGCTGAACTTCGTAAGGATCTGGAAAACAAAGGATGTGTTCTTCTCTTGATCTTTGTTTTGCCTGCCCCTTCTTATCTGTTAAGCTCCATTAAGTAGGAAAGTTTGTCTGGCACTTGTGTTAAGCTCTGTCTTGCACAGAGGCCAGAGAGTGTAATAAAGAATGCAATATATTTGTTATGACTGAGTGAGTCACAATATAGGCCAAATTCTTGCTGCACTTCTATAGCTTTTTCCCTTTTGCATAGAAATGTTAGTCTTTAGCATAGAAATGTTAGCTGTTCTGCAGTAGCCTTTTAAATAAAGTTTTTCTGGATTACAATCTGATTCTTGTAATGTTTAAAGAATGCAAATCTTTTTTTAAAAGATGTTACATGCTTCAAGGAAAAAACATTTTCATTTCTCCTGTAAAAGAACAACTTGTTTGATATTTACATTACTGTATGTATATATATATATATATGGATTGAATGATTTTATTCCTTCCTAGCATTTGCCAGATTCAGGTTCTGCTTTTAAAATTATAGAAAAAAATATTGTTCACCAAATGCCATACTTTCTAGGAGATCATGTGTTTGAGAAAGGCAGGCACAAGCAATGCAGTTCCAGTACAAATATTCCACCTGTTCTTTTAACTTTTTTGAACTGTGACAAATGAGTACAATCTGAACCAGTTATTGAGTTTAGCCAAGGCTGCATGTTTGTAATATTATATATTTTCCTCTTTCCATTCCTCTCGAAGATGGAGGGGTTTTCTGGAGGTAAGAAGAAAAGAGGCAAATAGTTTTGTTATAATGTATTTATATGTCACATTTTGCATTGTAGCATCATTAACCTTGCGCAGTGCTTTATAATCACTGAATTGTCTTAAATTTGGCTTATGTCATTATGGTCATTAATATCCTACTTAAGTTGAGTGAACTGAGACTAGGAGAAATTAGAGCAAAAGTCACTGGATACACCTATAATGTAAGCCAGGGGTGTCAAACTGGCAGCCCGCGGATTAGATGCATCACACGTAGGCCATGCCCACCCCAGCTCCGCAAATGGGAAAAACCTCACAAAACCTCACGTAATGGCAATGTGATGCCATAAGTTTGACACCCGTGATGTAAGCCAAATAAATATCTATGTCATGATCTGGGAGAACTGATTATGACATATAGCGTGATGTTTCTGTCCATAAAATGAATTTGATGCCTCTGTGTCTCCATATTGTTGTTCAAATTATTCAAAAACTGGATTTTCCTCTTGTCCACTTGTAGTTGAAAAAGTCCTTTATTTCAGGAGTTATTAAATTTTGATGCATCAAACAGTGCTACTCTGCTTGCTTGTTTTTCATAGACTTGTGTTTTCTTGTCTTACACCCACATGGGAGGATGCTTGGTAGACTTCCAAATTGAAACTCTACTGCTGCATATAGCTGAAGTGATTGGGCACATATATAGAACCATTCATATAGCTGATGGCGATTTCAAAATTTTCAGAATAGTTGCTTGCTCTGTTTAAGAGGCAAATCTATACACTTTGAAGTGTAAGTATTTACATGGAAAGCAAGACGTTCTTCAGAAACCTCTAAAAATGGAAATAATAGGGGATAAAGAACTGGGAATCTATATAGGAATGAAATGATATTGATATTGAATTAATGAATTGAAATATGAAATGGAAATTTATTTAAAGATGGGTGAAATGGATAATGATATGAGATGACATCATATAAAATTGGTGGAAATGAAAGTATGATTATGTACAAGTGATATAATATGGAACCACGTTGCCCACACAAAGAGATGTGTAAAAATTTAAAAATTAAAAACTTTTTGGGGAACAAAAGAAACCTCTACTTCATAGCATTTCCTCTTTTTTCATTGCAGTTTAACAGGCTACCAAATGTACCCAGGAAGTAGGGGAAAAGGCTTCCTGAAGTCAAGTTTCAGTACTACTGACCTTACATCAGTTGCTGCACATATTGCATCATTCTAAATGAAATGAGGAGTCCATGCAGCTTAATTGCATGGAATTTATCATCTAAGACTATGATAATTAAGACCTTTAAATTTGTGTTGCAAGTATGCTTTTTCACACACAGCATGTTTACTCATGTAGTAAATTCTGAGGGGTTGTTGTTGGTTTTTCCCCAATACAAATTGACCATTTGCTTTCCATTTTCATTGATGAAAATTTTGGACACTTTGTATTGGACTAGCTAATACTGTTCTGTTTTTTTAAAAAAGTTCTTAAGTGAATCCAGGAATTCTGCTGGAATGACTATCTCCTTTTCTCTTTGTCAAATTATTGTGCCACACCCATGTTCAAATCCCTAGTAGCTCTCATATGTAACTTGGACACAACTTGTTTCTTGTTTTGCACAATTGCATTCTATTCTGCATATACTGTACATGCTATCTACATTTCTTCACTCCCCCAATTTCTGGGAGGCCTTTATTAGGTTTCCAGTTATATATTCTATTTTTTTTAAAAAAATACTTATCTTCCTCCTATTTTATTCTCAGTTTCTGGGAAGCTACAAATAAGTTATATTCTTTCCTCCCTCCCCCTTAAACTGATTGGTTTCATAAAGGAACAAGTTCAAAATCAAATGCTAGAAGATGCTAGTTTCAATATGGTAGGTGTTCTTCTAAATTCTGAATTTTTGCAAAAAAAAAAAAATCCACTCCTAATTAGTCTTTAATCCTATACCTGAAAATCTGAAAGATGGTGCTTAAATGTAACTAAGTGAATTTCCATGGCTTTCTACTTCACAGCAGGTATTGTTAGAGCTTAGCGTGTATAGATTTGTTCTATGAATTGTTTTAAAAGTTGCTGCTAAATTTTTCTTAATAGATAATTTGTTACATTTTATGCTGATAATGAAGTAACATAGACATAGTTTGTAATGATAAAATGTCCCTATTTTGTGGCTTCATTGAGTCATAAACTAACTTAGTAACTGGTTTTCATTTCCTGTAACACAGTACATAAGAAACTTTTTTTATTCTTTAAAATCACGGGTGTATTTCTCTCTTAAAAGATGTCATGAACTTCTGAATGGGATTATTAGAAAAGATTTTTCTCTATATGTCTGGAGGGGTGGGTTTAAAATAGCCGCATAATCTTATGTTGCGTGTTTATTTTGGATCATATCTACTGATTTTAAAAGGACTTATTATCTAATAAGTATGCATAGGGTGGCTTCCAAAGCTTCCAAGGATTAGGTCATATTTTCTCAGATATATGAAGCATTATCAGTTAGAAATTGTAAGTCCATGATTTTTTCATACAGAACAGTAATGCAGAATTGCTGGCAGAGTGAGATAAGTGGCATATAAATATAATAAATAAATAAAGTAAAATAAATAGTGTATGGAAGATAACATCACAGTTAGCTTATTCACTAGACTAATGTTACTTTTTAACTTAGGCTTAATTTAACTTATTTGTGTACAGTTACATTGGCTGATACTCTGAATGGGTCATGCTACCTGATGTACTGTATGTTTGGGCTCCTTACAAAAATATTAAAGCTTTGTTCCTACTTTTTGAATTCCACAGTTATTTATATTTTTTTTCTCCTTTCCCGCCTCAATTTCTTAACATGTTAAACTCAAGTCAATCAAACTAAATCATGTCATATGTCAAAATTGAAGGTGTCTTTTTAAAAATTCATTCTGAAGAGTGAAGACTTAAGTATAATAACAACATTGGAATAAAAGCTTCTCCAGAAATTTGTTGGCTTTATGTCAAAAATAATTATAAATGCAACCTTGTAACCTCTGATTACTTCACGTTGTCAAAATGTAATTATCATTTGTGAAACTGAAGTGACTGACTGCCTTTAGACATATATTTATGAAAACAATGACATACATTCAAAAATAGAGTAGTTATATCTTACTCTACTGAACAGTATCATTTAGTCATGAATCTTAGCATACAAGTAGTCCTTGACTTACAACCACT